ACCTAAATATAATTCTTTTGAATTCCTTATCAGAGAGTTCCAGTGCTGCTTCTTCCTCAGGGATGTGTTCTGGGTCTGTATCCTGCTCCCTTGTTTCTATCGCTTTATCTTCCTTCTTTGTGTGGACTGTGATGGTCTGTTGTCTCTGAGACATTGTGGTGGTGTTGTATTTAGATCTCTGTTAACTGTTTGTGAAGAGCAACCAAGGTGATTCAGGCTCTTCTTGGTGGTTTTTTTAATCATTGTCCTGTTGGTGCAGAAGGAGGTCGTGGCTCTTGCTCAGTACGTGAAGGTGTATGAGGTGTATGTGTAGTTGTGTCTTATGGGGACTGTTGCTGTCTCCCACTCAGACAAAAACAGAGTACTACTCAAGGAAATTAATGAGAACTTATAAAATCATATTATCTCCATTAGTATAATAAAAATCTTATGCTTACTTTAATTCAGTTGTCAAGCATGAACTTGAAAGATATCTGTCTGTTAAATAAGTGTATAAGAAGCAACTTGCTGTTTTGAGAAGCTCTAGCATAAGGGTTCTGGCTGACTAGCTGCTTGTTAGATTGCTTTTGGACCATGGTGACCTCATCTGTCAAATTTATATTACTGATCTCCATGTCCCATGCATGCTTAGAATTTAAATAGTGATAAAGCAGTGGTAAATAGTACATACAGCAAGTCAGTGATGAACCAAAAGGACCTATTTATTATTCTGTTTTTAGACTGCCAGCAGCAATAGTATGAATATGGATGACCTGATTTTTTTTATTGGTTTGTTTTTAACTTATTTTGAAGTTATTTCAGACTTAACAGAATGTTACAAATTAGCACAAAAATATTCCAGAATACCCATCACCCAGATTCTCTATGTTACCATTTTACCTATCTTTCTTTCTTACTATACATACATTATTTTGCTGAAACTTTTGAGAAGGACGTTGCAAATATGATGTCCCATGATTGCTGAATATTCAATGTATGTTTCACAAAAAAACACTTTTTTTTTTTTTTAACATAACCACAATTATCAACGTAATATGCTATCAGATCAGCAGATTTTATTCAAACTTTGCTAGTTGTCTCACTGATTTCTTTCTAACCAAAGAAGAAAGATAGATAAGTTGGTTGGTTGATTTGAAGGCCTAGGATTCATCTGAGGGCCATACATTACATTTATTTGTCATGATTCCTTTCTCTTTAATCTTGAACTTTTTCTTAGTCTTTGTCTTTTATGATCTTGGTGTTTTTGAAGAGTATAAGGTAAACGGTAGACTATCCCTCAGTCCTGAAATAGGTAACCTGCTTAATTCAAGACAATTTAGCACTATCAGGTATTCTGAATTGTCATATGTTCTATTAGTTAATTTGTTCCCAGAAATTGATAGAATAGAGTTAAAGAATACCTCTAAACCAAAACCAAACTCAGTGCCATGGAGTAGATTCCAACTCATAGCAACCCCTTTGGGTTTCTGAGGTAGTAAATGTTTATGGAAGTAGACTGTCCAGTCTTCCTTCTGTGGAGTGGCTGGTGGGTTTGAACTGCCAACCTTCCAGTTAGCAGTCAGCTGCCTTAGGCATTGTGCTGGTGGCTAAGGGACTTGACTGCTACTTAGAAGGTTGGTGGTACAGACCCACCAGCCACTCCATGGAAGGGAAGACCAGGCAGTCTACTTCCATAAAGACTTACTGCCTTGGGAACCCAGTGGGGGTTGCTGTGAGTCAGATGCAACTCAGCGGTAGTAGGTTTAAAGAATACCTAGATGGGAAAAATTCCTGTTTGGAGATAGGTAGGACTACTTTAAAAATACCAAATAAAATTGGCTCTATCATTTCTTTTCTAAATTCTTATTTTTAATTTGGTGTTGAAAATCTGAAGTGTATTAAAGATAGAGGAATCCTTATGTTTGAGGTAATGATGAACATTGGTGTAGAGATAGTAATGAGTAAGAATGGAGAGACGTGAACGGGACACTAATAGGATATTTGTGTGAAATACAAGTTTGGAACAATGACTTAAAATTTAAGTTGAAGAATTTAGTGGAGCTCTGGTGGTGTAGTGCCTAAGGCATTTGACTGCTAACCAGAAGGCTGGCGGTTCAAACCCAAGGAGGGGTCACTATGAGTTGGAACCAACTCCACGACAGTGAGTTTTTTTTTACTCTAACAGAATGCTGTAGATCTTTGGCATAAAAATGGCATCATCACATTGCCCTTTGAATGAGAAAGTATAATTGCTATGTATAAAAAGATTGGAATGGTAATCAAAGTACCTGTTACCTCACAAAAAAGACGAGAATGCTAGCTACAAACCCAGTGTAAGATTTGATGAGGACCCAGTTATAGTAGTATTAGTTAAATTTGTCTGGATTGCATTGTTAAAGAATCAAATGACCTAGTGATCAGTTGTTGTTGTCATCAGTTGATCGGAGTTATATAATTGGAAATAGTAATAGGAAATGGAAGTATTGATGGTACTGAGCGACTTGAACTAGTATTATTAAAACACTGAACTGTTTCACATTTTTTATTTTTCATACATGGGTACTGAAATAGTTAAGTATATCTGGTATAGGGTGGGGCACACACAATTTTGATGTATAAAATAGATTGTAATGCATACTTTTTCAAAGGATATTCCAGAACTGGGCCTTAGGCAGTTGATGCTGGAGCTCTGGTGGCATAGTGCCTAAGACATTTGACTGCTTACCAGAAGCCTGGCGGTTCAAACCCACCAGCCACTCCTCAGAAGGAAGGTTGGGGAACCTACTTCCATAGTGATACCACCTCAGAAACCCAAGGAGGGGTTTCTGTGAGTCAGATCCAACTCCACGGCAGTGAGTTTGTTTTTTGGTTGGAGTTTTCATTCAATAAATAGTTAATGTACATTCACTGTCTAACACACACTGTTGTAAACATTGGATATGTAGTATGTAGATGAATATAATTTTGTGAAGGGACTGGGGATTCAAATAAATAAGTAAATGTGTAATATGCTAGATGATGAGAAGTCCAGTGAAGAAAAATAAAGCTAGGGCAGTGGGGATAGAATGCTAGAGAGGAATGCTCTAACCCAGTTCAGCCTCCAGGGTTATAATTGACATTGTTCCTTGTCACTCCTTTTGGCCATTAATGCTCTGCATAACTTTACACTGACAGTGTGTCCTTGGGATCTTCTATACCCTGTGGCCTGGATTGCATATATAGCACTACTCTACATAGAGTTGGTATATAATAGCATAAAGTTGATGATAAATTTTATTTGAACTATTAAGTAAATCTGCATTTTATAATTTTTTATACATTTTTCTTTTTTAAAAGGACACTGTCAAGTACTTTTAAACCATTGATCGTAATGAAAACAACTCCTGTTTTTCTTATTTTTGTTTCTTTTGACTGCCCTTTAATTTTCTTGTTTTTGGAATGGATATAAGTTAATGAACCTTTTTATTCATTTGTCTTAAATTATCAGTACTAAGGTGCTGGAATAATAACCTCCTTATTACTACTGTATATGCCTGTAAAATGCAATATTTGCCATGAATAATTTTTTAAATTAATATTTAATTTAGATTTATTATAATACTAGGGGGCATTTAATCAGTGGGTTAAATATGGAATAGTTTGTCTTTACATATATATATTTCAGAAAGTACAAATTTAGCACCATATGTTATTCTATTTATAAGTGAATTCCAAACTGTCTCAGTGACTTAAAATATATATTTGCTAGTTATTTATAACTTGCTCATTAATGTAATTGAAAGTTTTGTTGTTGGTTTTAGTATTCTGGTATTAATATATGATATTAGCTCTTATAATTACATTTTAAACTAAGTTTCAGAGAACAAATATAGGTTGGTTTTTCTCATGTTTTCCAGTCCCTTTTTCTCATACAGCCATATATGTTAAGTAAATGTGTGATTTTTTTTTTTTCCCTGCCAGTTTTAATTTCCTGTCATAACTAATAGGAATTAGTAGAGGAAAGATTTCTTTATTGACTGAATTTATAGCTTAAGTAACTTTTATTTGTGAAACTTTTGACTTTGTCAAAGATACTTGCTGACCACAGCTGCTTTGTTGTAGGAGGACTGACAAATGGTAGTGGTCGCTATATCTCTGCAGCACCTGGAGCAGAAGCAAAATATAGAAGTGCTTCAAGCACTTCCAGTCTGTTTAGCTCCAGCAGCCAGCTCTTTCCTCCTTCTCGGCTTCGATATAATAGGTCTGATATTATGCCTTCTGGCCGCAGTAGATTATTGGAAGATTTCAGAAACAACCGCTTCCCAAACCTTCAACTTAGAGACTTGATTGGACACATAGTTGAATTTTCTCAAGACCAGCATGGTTCTAGGTGGGTGATTGTGATTTATATACTTTCTACTTCATTGTTGCTTTGAAAATTACTGTCTAGTAATTGCCTAAATTTTTCTTGACTGGAATCAGCTAATCTAGATAATACTGGAAAGTTTAAAAAAAAAATGTGGATTGTATATATTTTCTTCATGTTAGGATAAAGTATAAAAAAAGTTACTTCTTTTTTAATTGTTTCCCAGTTGTGCACAATGAAAATATAGTAATGTTAGAATGTTAACATTGGATGATTTTGATTACATGCGCTCTGAACACATTTATTTCTTTGAAGATACTGCTCTGAATTACTTTTATGGCTAAGTATCCCTCATGTATATATAATTTGCCTTTTAAAAAAAATTTAAATACTTATATGTTTTATGGGTTAATATTTAGCGTGACTTGGCTTAAATTGAAATATTCCACTTTTTTTAAATAAGAAAATTTGTTGCCTTTGTACATTAAGCATATTATACATAATGTAATACTTCAAAGATATATATGAATTAGTGTTCCCAAAAAAAGCTCAGAGAGGAAAATTGAACTAGAATTCTAACATACTTAATAAATTTGAAATGTTTTATGTTTTTAAAGTAAACCTGAGATTTTTAAAAAAAAGTTTTTAATTGGAGACTTGAATACAAATTTTATCTTTCTCTTAATGGAAAGATCCTTCCGAATAGCAAATAAATCTTGTAGTGACCAAACTGCTAGCTCAGTTAGGAAGTATTGCAGTTTTATTCCTAAAGGTTTAGTAATATTTTTTATATTATTTCAAAAAAAGAATAACCAGCAAAATCTTAGTAATTTTCTGTTTCATTGATTGTAACGTAGCAGAACTAACTTAAGCAAAATTAATTTCCTCAATACCCAGATTTTTGTCAGTCTAACCAACCAGAGTATAAGTTTGAATATGTCCTACCTGAATTTAGAGACAATCTCAAGAATAGATTTGACACATTAAACACTGATGACCAGAAACCAGACGAGTTGTGGGATGGATGATAGCAAAGACATCGTACATGAAGAAAGCAAAGAATAATTAAAAAGATGGAAAACACAACAAAACAAAAGATCAAAATAGATGCCAGAAGAGACTCTGAAACTTACTCTTGAATGGAGAGTAGCTAAAGCAAAAGGAAGAAATGATGACGTGAAAGAGCTGAACAGATTCAAAGGGCAGCTCAAAAAGATGAAGTATTATAGTGAAATGTGCAGAGATCTGGAGTTAGAAAACCAAAAGGGAAGAACATGCTCACCATTTTTCAAACTGAAAGAACTGAGGAAAAAATTCAGGCCTTGAGTTAACAATATTGAAGGATTCTATAGGCAAAATATTGAATGACACAAGAAGTATCAAAAGAAGATGGAACAAATTACAGAGAGTCACTTTACCAAAAAGATGTTCAACCATTTCAGGAGGTAGCATATGATCAAGAACTGGTATTGAAAGAAGTTCAGATTGCACTGAAAGTATTGGCGAGAAGTAAGGCTCTAGGAATTGACAAAATGCCAGTTTTCAGATGTTTCAGCAAATGGATGCAGTGCTGGAAGCACTCACTAGTCTGCACCACAAAATTTAGAAGACAGCTACCTGGTCAACTCACAGGAAGAGATCCATATATGTGGCTATTCCAAAGAAAGGTGACCCAACAGAATGTGGAAATTATCAAACAATATAATTAATAACACATGTGAGTAAAATTACGGTGAAGATAATTCAAACATGATTTCAGCAGCACATCAACATGGAACTACCATAAATTTAAGCCGGATCCAGAAGAGGATGTGGAACAAAAAATATCATTGCTGTTATCAAATGGATCTAGGCTTAAAGCAGAGAATACCAGAAAGATGTTTACATGTGTTTTATTGACCATGCACAGCATTTGATTGTGAAAACAAATTGTGGTCAACATTTGGAAGAATGGGAATTCCAGAACACTTAATTGCACTCATGAGGAACCTGTGTGTAGATCAATAGGGGGTTGTTTAGACAGAACAAGGGGATTCCGCATGGTTTAAAATCTGGAAAGGTATGTGTCAGAGTTATATCCTTTCACTGTTCTTTCTAAAGCTGTTTGCTGAAGAGATAATCCAAGATGCTGGACTATATGAAAAATAACAGGCACAGCATTAGGATGGGAGGAAAACTCACTAACAACCTACCATATGCAGATTGAAACAACCTTGCTTGCTAAAAGCGAAGAGAACCTGAAGCAGTTTTAGCCTTTCAGTGTGGATTACACCTCAACATACGCAAAGATTATTGAAGGTGGACCGGTAAGAAACATAATGATAAATGGAGAAAAGATTGAAGTTGTCAAGGACTTCATTTTACTTGGATCCATAATCAACAGCCATAGAATCAGCAGTCAAGAGGTCAGTGTATATATTGCATTTGGCAAATATGCAAAAGACCTCTTTAAAGTGTTAAAAAGCCAAGATGTGCCTGACACCATCATATTTTCAATTACCTTATATGCGTGTGAAAGTTGGATAGTGAATAGGAAGAGCAGAGAAAATTGTACACGTTTGAATTATGGTGTTAATGAAGAATATTAAAAATACCATGGATTACCAGAAGAACAAACAAGTCTTTTGTAAGAAGTATAGGCAGAATGCTCCTTAAGTATCTTACATACTTAAGATACGTTATCAGGAGGGGGACCAGTCCCTGGAGAAGAACATCATGCAGGGTAAAGTAGATGGCCAGCGAAAGAGAGGAAGACCTTCAAAGAATTAGATCGACAACAATGGTTGCAACAATGGGCTCAAATGTAACAGTGATTGTGAGGATGGCGCAGGACCAGGCACTGTTTCATTCTGTTGTATGTAGAGTCACAATTCAACAGCACCTAATAAAAATAATAGCAACTAGTAATTATTAGGATGTAATAGAAATAAATGTGTCATTCTTTTTGTCCTTTTTTATTAAAATTGGCTGTCTATTGTATAAAAACCCACCCACTGCCATCAAGTCGGCCCCCGACTCATAACGACCCCTCCTTGGGTTTCCGAGAGAGTATCACTACAGAAGTAGATTGCCCAACCTTCCTTCCAAGGAGTCGCTGGTGGGTTTGAACCGCCAGCCTTCTGGTTAGCAATCACATAAATGCCTTAGATACTACACTGCCAGAGCTCCTGTCTGAAGTATATTATTATTTCTGAAAATAATTTTTTGTGTATATGTATGTGGAGGTGTGACTGTGTATGTACGTAGTGCTCAAGTACAGATTCTACAGGAGCTTGTTTTCAACTTGCTGTCATACCATTTAAAACTTTTCCCCAATAGATTCATCCAGCAAAAGCTAGAGAGAGCTACTCCAGCTGAGCGACAGATGGTATTTAATGAAATACTACAAGCAGCTTATCAGTTAATGACAGATGTTTTTGGCAATTATGTTATACAGAAGTTTTTTGAGGTAAGTAAGCATGCAATGCATATCAGTATATCCATCCAACTGTACTTAATACTAAAAACTGCTTTCAAAGTTTGGTTAGTAAGATTCATTTTCATATAAAAATATATGAGCCTATTTTAAATGAGAAGTTTAATATAAATCTTGATTAATATTTGAAAATATGATTCTTTGGGAATAAAAGGTGAACCAGTTAATGAATATTTTAGTCTTTATTTGAATTCTTAGCTATATTTCATTTTAATTTAGCTAATTTTCAGTATATAACTACACATTGGCATTTTAGCTTGACTTAACAAATCCCCACCACAGTTGTGTTAGAATATAGTTGAGAATTATCTGGGTGAATGAATTTTAGTGGTCTGTATAAATGGCTCAGAAGTTTATATATTAAAGGTGATTTTTTGTTTGTTTGAGATAATAAATGAAAAGTGTATATGTATTTTTTTAAAAAATATGGTATTGGTAATAACAAATTTCAAATAGTGTGACTTAACTGTTCCCTTCAGCAACCCTCCACCCCCCATTAATAAATAGGATGTTTTAAAAATAGACTCAGTACCTTACAAACAGTGTCTTATTGAAGTTAAAGAAGGTAATGTTGTAATCACTTTTTATTAATATTATTCTCTTTTTGTCAGTTTGGGAGTTTGGATCAAAAATTAGCCCTGGCTACTCGTATCCGTGGTCACGTACTACCCTTAGCCTTGCAGATGTATGGTTGCCGTGTTATTCAGAAAGCATTAGAATCTATTTCATCTGACCAGCAGGTAATTGTAAGTTAAGACAAAAATTTTTTTACTACTTTATTCAGCTTTTAAATTATTACTTGGGTTTTTTTTGTTGCCTTTTTTTTTTTAATTGTGATCTGGGTGAA